GGATTGCCCAACCTTCCTTCCGAGGAGTGGCTGGTGGGTTTGAACCGCCAGCCTTCTGGTTAGCAGTCAAGTGCTTTAGCCACTATGCTACCTGAGCTCCCATCTATTAGTTGTGGGAAAATGGAGGCTAATGTGATGAATTTCCTTTCACTTGGGATTGAAATTTCTTCCTGCTTCACAAGTGGGAGCCCAAAGGTAGCCTGACCTGCACCAGCAGCCATGGATTCCTAAAGAAGGAAGCAGATACCAGTTATGGAGTGCCTACGATGTGCCAGGCACTGTGTTAAGCACTTTACATGCATTACGTCTTCCCAATGCAAATGTAGCCCATTTTATAAATGAGAAAACGGAGGCTCAAAGATGTTAAGTAACTCCAACATTGATAGAACTGGGGTTTATACCAGGGTTTCTCTGCCTCTGAAGTCCCTAGGTGGTACAAATGGTTAATGCATTCAGGTGCCAACCTAAAGGTGGGAGGTTCAAGTTCACCCAGGTGCCTTGGAAGAAAGGCTTGGTGATCTATTTCCGAAAAATCAGCCATTGAGAACCCTGTGGAGCACAGTCCTACTCTGACACACATGGGGTCAGCATGAGTTGGAATGGACTTAGTGAGGGTTGGTTTGGTTCTCTGATTCGAGAGTCTCTCCTCTGGAAGGCCCTGGGACTGGGAGATTCACTTCTGAGGCTTAGGTCCCTGACTCCCTTTCTCAAGCCAGCACTGTTTCAGTGTCTAATCCACCTTTTGGATTTTGCTGCCTGAGCATTCCTGAGACCCCCTTAAGTTCTGAAAAGAAAAAGATCCACTTGTGGAATAAGGAAGGAATAAAATGAACTCCCTGGTTCTTCCACCCCAACTAGCCTGGAAGGCAGGAGAGAAGGAAGATAACGGAATCGGAGTCCTTGAATCCGCTGGCCAATTCCTCTCAGTGCAGAAACTCTCCTGCGCCCCCTGGTGGTCTTCGATTCTTCTATGTTCTCCCAGGGATCACTTGGTATTGCAGACTTACAACAGCCCATCACAGGGACTGGGAAATAGAGGCTCACTTACATGACATTGCACATCCAGGAAATGCTAGAGGTGGAGCTGGAATCCAGAGTTCTTGAGCCCTGGCCGTTGGCACACAACAACAAAGTCCTCCATACTGGGTGACTGGTCCAGCAGTACTCCTATTAGGCGTGCCCCAATACTGTATTATATATTAAGCTTCACCAGGTCACTATAAAAGCTTATGCTGGGACACCTTGTTATCATACAGCGGAATCACAACAACTTCCTTCCTCCCCAGTTCACATTTCAAGGGCTGCTGGAGAAAGCCAGCCTTCCTCCCCTGCCCAACCTTCCTAGGAGGTAGGCTTTCTCCTGAACTCAGTCGTACCCCCTCACTTGCAGGAATGTCAAGAGGTGGAGGGACATAAGTCTTCTTGGGATACAAGTTTACTTAAATTGAGGGAAGTACCTAGAGGAGAAAACTGCAGATGCCTCTAGGTACCACCACTTTCTCTCTAGTGGAATACAGGAAATAACAGCAGGAGGGAGAAGGGTTAGCCATCAGGAAGGACTGTTACATGGATGGAGGATACATATGTCTGGGAATTGTTCACCTTTCAAGGAAGGTGATGCCTGGGATGGTTGAGGCATGCTGGTCCAACTACAGAGGGATTAAATAGGTCTCAGCTCAATGTCATGACTGGCAGGTAGGAGCACTGACTACCTCTCACCTAAAACCCCAAACCCACTGCCATGGAATCAATTCCAATTCATATTGGCCTCCATAAATTTTCCAAACCTGTACATCTTTACGGAACCAGATTGCCTTATCTTTCTTCTGTGGAGCAGCTGTTGGGCTCGATCCTCTGACCTTTTGGTTAGCAGCCAAATGCCTTTACCATTGCACCACCAGAGTTCTGTTCAGGTAGGCCTAGAAATAAATCTGTTTGTTCAGTTTTATTCTATTGTATCTTGTTAAGGAGCTCTGGTGGTGTAGTGCCTAAGGCATTTGATTGCTAACCAGAATGCTGGCGGTTCAAACCCACCAGCCACTCCCTGGAACAATTGGGCAATCTATTTCTGCGGTGATACCAAATTGGAAACCCAAGGAAGGGTCGTCAGCATTGAGTTTTTAGTATCGTGTTATGTCTTGGTTCTGAAAGTCAGATGCTCTGCCATTCTATTGATCCCTGGAGCACTGACTCTCCACACAGGAGTAAAGGTGTGGCGGCGGGAGGAGACGAGGCCACTGTGGGCGCTGGCAGCTGCAGAACTGAAGGTCCAGCAGACCTCACAGTGGAGTCGCACAGGGAGGGAGGGGATGAGAGGACCGAGAAGGCGCCATGGTGGCCCAATGGATTCAGATGGGCCTGCTCAGGACTTGGAGCTCCATTCACATGCCCTGACAGTAACTCAGCGGGCCCCTAGAGGGTCCCCTAAGCTGACTTTGCCAACTCGCCGGAAAACGGGGCGGTGCCCAGCCCCATGGCTTGGGGGAAAGCGAAATGGGCTCCCGGTGTGAATCCGAGGAGAGGGAAGAAGTGCGAGTCCCAGCTCCACTCCACACTCCCTTCCTGCCTATAAATAACCCCAGTGTCACTTCAAAGGGGACAGGGGGCGCGGGAGAGGGGCTCCAGGGGCCGGCAGGCTGGGGCCGAGGGGCGTGCACACCACGCCCCCCCCCCCAGCGAGTTTGCATAAATAAACAAATCTAGGCCCTCGGCCCTGCAGGAGGTGGAGGAGGAGGAGGAGGGGGGCGGGAGAGATTAGTTTGGGAAGTAGCACGGATTGCTCATCCGATCCGTGCGGCCGTGGCCAGTGTGTCAAGTTACAGAGGCGCCGGAATCGGCCCTTGCGCTCCTAGGCAGCGGCCACGACCCATCTCTGCCCATGGGGCCATCCATGTGCGCCCCTGCGCCCCGGGACTGAAATTGGCTCGCCAGGGAGTCGCGAGACACCAAGAAGGACCGACAGCGCGAAACCAACTCAAGAACTCTGCGGGTGCTTGAAGCGAAAGACCAGGCAGAGTAGAGAGCAGGCTAGATTCCCCCAACTTTTACCGAACTTGAAAAGTTTTTCGGAGAAGCTTTTTCTCACCTTGGTGTACCCCGATTACTGCTGGTGTGTCTTTTCACCTTTTGCCCCCCAGCTGCTGACTTCTGCATCCTTTGGGCCAGGAGCAAAGGAAAGGGACGTTTTCCAGCGACACAGCCCTTTTCCCCTGCCGCGCAATTAGGATCGCGCCTTTGGGCAGCGGCTCACCTTTATTTATTCTATTTATTTATTTATTGGTTCTCAAGACGCGAGGGGATGGTGGCCGAGCGCGCCCGCAAAGCGGCAGCCGCGGCGGGTGCCTGCGGCCTTGGGGAGCTGGGCGCGAACCAGACCGAGGCGCTGGCGGCGGCTCCATACGAGCGCTGCGCGAGGCTGCCGAGCCCGGGGTCTTTCGGGCTGCTGGCGCTGGCCCTCTGCTCGCTGGCGCTCAGTCTGCTCGCCCACTTTCGGACGACCGAGCTGCAGGCCCGGGTGCTGAGACTGGAAGCCGAGAGCTGGGAGCAGCAAATGGAGACGGCTATTTTGGGACGAGTCAACCAACTGCTGGACGAGGTCTGTGCTCTTTGTTGCTGGCTTGTATCCCTCCCCGCGGCGCCCCCTCGCGCAGCCTCCAAACTCTTGACCAGCGGGTGCCCGTGGGCGCTCTCTCTCGGCGTCGCCTGGTGAGCTGTGGGCTTGCGCCAGTTGTCTCCTGGAGAGCTGAGGGGCAGGGATGGACGTGACCCTGCCAGGGACCCGGAGGACCTGGAGGCGTGTGTGCGACCCCGTGGCTCCGGTCCCCGGCAGGCGTCCCCACGTCCAGCGCTGGAAGTGCCCTGGGCGCGCCAGGCAGGTGGAGGGAGGCAAGGCGCGCAGAGGCGCGCGGAGGCGGGCAAGCTGCACTTCTCGTTCTCAGGCCCGGCTTAGAGGTTTGAGAACCGCCGCGCGCCCACGCGGCGGGAAGCGTGCCCCGCATTCTGGCGGCTGGGCCTCCGCGCTCCCCTCCCCTCCGGGGTCTGCGCTGCCTGACTTTTATGGCCACGTTCTGTTGGGAAGCAGGAGTGAGAGAATCAATCATCCAAGGGCCTAGGGGGCCAGAGGGGGAGTCGTTGGTGTCCAAGCCCCTGCTTACTGTACCAAGCCTCTAGGACCCAGGTGTGTGTCTCCCTGGCTCTGCTGGCAGTTGTTTCTAAGCCAGGTTTCCTGTCCTGGGACCCCTGGAATGGTCTCCAACATTTTGTCTCTAATGTTTTTTGTGTGGGGGGAGCAGAAGAAAGGATGTTGAGCGTTCTTCCGTTTGCAAAATGCCCTTGATAAAAGCCACTGTCTTAAGTTTTTGAAGTTCTTTTGGCCCAGTGGTTAAAGCCCTCAGTTGCCAATTAAAAAATTGGCAGTTGGAGCCACTCCATGGGAGAAAGATGTGGCAGTCTGCTTCTGTAAAGACTTACACCCTTGGAAACCCTATGGGGCAGTTTCACTCTGTGTATAGGGGTCCTTTGAGTCAGAATGGACTCCTCAGCAGTGGTGTGTGGGTTTTTTTTTTTTCCCCCCAACCTTTAGTAAGCACTTAGGGTGTCACAGGCATCTTTGGATACATAACAAGACTATACCCTCCCTTGGAAGGAGGGACAGGCAGTCCTGTTAGTGCCACCAGAGGAAAAGCTGGTCAGTGCAAGGGTGAGGCCTGGTTACTCATGGGAATCTGAACAGCACAGGGGATGCAGGACCCAGAGGAAAGGGAGGCTGGCAGTTGAGGGCTGTCACGGTCTGGGAAGAAGTCCTGATACAGACAGGCCATGGAAGGTGTCCATGGGGAAGAAATGGGAGAGGAAGTTCTCCTACTTAGAGGTGGTGGATCCCAGTGGGCCTAGGTTTTTATCTTCACTCTAGAAGCTGTGCAACCTGAAGAAAATCCCCTAGCCCCCCTGAGCCTGCAGAACAGTGGTGGTGGGAAGTATTGAAGCCCAGCAGCAAGTCTTCTGTCAGGTGCCTCTGCCAGGCAGTTCTTTAGGGTTCTGTGATGGACAGGAGATCACAGTGCCAGAGATGGAGGGTGGTCAGAGGGCAGGCTTACTGGTGATACAGGCATAGCCCTGACTACTGCTGTCAGCTCATTCCCACGCCCTGCAGGCCCCAGGGAATCCAGAGGGCTCTGTCAGGCGCCCCACAGCCTTTGGACCCTCTGGGCTTAGCACTGTGAATAAGCCGCCTTCCCCAGCAGGCTCAGACTGCTTATGGGGCTGGCTGGGTGGGAGAGGGGTTGGGGGTGGTAGCATCCAACCAGGTATCTGGCTCTTGAGGGATGAGCTTCTGACCCTGGGGATTTAGCTCAATTCCTCTCTTCACCCCTCCCCCTCCCCAGACCCTCCTGCTACTTGCCCCAGCCATTTCCCAGTCCTTGCTTCCTCTGCTTAAGACTTAGCCGTGCTAAGTTACATGCTCTCAGGGCCTTGGGGCTGACCATTTGATCTGACATGCTGATTCCACCTCTCCACACTGCAGCTTCATTTTACACTACTGACGTCTAGAACTCTTCCCTGCCAGATCTGAAAGTCACCTCAGAGATCATCTAGACTGACCCTCCATTTTACAGATGGGGAAACTGAGACCCAGAGAAGGCCAGTAGGCTGCCCAGAGTACATGACAAGTTCATTGCAGATCCAGGGCTAGAATATAAGCCTCCTGATCCCATACCCAATTACCTTTCCACTGTCCTACCACCTTCCTTTGTCCCCAGCCAGTTGTGGGTCAGATATCATGGGACACAGTCTTCCATTCTCCTGAACTTACAGGCAAATAGGGACACAGAGAAGAAAACAGGCCAGTGACCATATCCTCTGAAAAATACTACAATAATGGAAGTAGAGGCAGGCCTGGAGAAAGTAGTACATGCAACATAGATAGTCTGGTGGTGGCAGTGATGGTAGTAGCAATCATGGCAGGCTTCTTGGAGGAATGATTTTTTTCAAGCCAAGACCTAAAGGGTGCATAGGAGTTTGCCAGGCAAAAGAGATAGACTTAGGAACCTTGCTATAAGGGGGAAAAGGGAACAGCTTCTGGGAGTCAGAGGGAGGGGGTTGTGTTGGAGAACTGAGGGATGTCCGGGACTCTGGAGAGCTGGGTAGGTGTGGTAATGGGAGATATAGCTGGAGAGAGAGGGGCAGCCCAAGTCAAGAGGCACCTTAGAGATAGTTAGATCTATGTAGAGCTGTCAGGAACCGCTGGAGGGTTTTGAGGAAGGCAGTTATATCCCTAGAATGAGATACTTCAGGGAGAACAGGGAAGCTGAACAAGAGGCTACTGCAGGGCCAGAGGCGACTGTGACCTTGACTGGGGGTAGAAGCAGGACAGAGAATAATGGCTGCAGTGGTGAGGCCTAGTGTCAGCAAAAGGAGTTGGGACCAGAGGGAGGGACCTGCCCTGTGGGTGGAGGAGATGGATCTGTGGTCTCTGAATAGGGGGTGGCCCTAAGTCATATCCTGGGAAGGACACTCTAGGACTGCATTGTGGGAGCTCTGATGGCGTAGTGTCTAAGGCATTTGACTCCTAACCAGAAGGCTGGCGGTTCAAACCCACCAGCCACTCCTCGGAAGGAAGGTTGAGCAATCTACTTCCGCAGTGATACCGCCTCAGAAACCCAAGGAGAGGTCGCTATGAGTTGGGGCTGACTCGATGGCAAACACAACAACAGGCACATGGGACTGTTTAAGTTAATTAAACATAAATAATTTCAATAAAATTTAAAATTCAGTCCCACTAGGTACATTTTAAGTGCTCAGTAGCCATGTCAGTGGCTACCATGTTGGGCAGAACAGGCATAGAACATACACATCATTACAGAAAGTTCTGTTGGACAGAGCTTCGAGGCCTGCAAAGGTGTCCCCAGGGTACCCACCTCAGGCCTTTCCTTTCCTAGGTATGCCTTCCCATCTCTGAGCAAAAGGCAAAGGAGAGAATAGGGGAGGCAAAGAAGGGAGACCTGGGGCAGGTGGAAAATCTGTGGTGAGGAGGGAAAAAGGCAAAGAGAAGAGAGGGGGAAATCTATTTGCTACAAAATGATTCTGTGGAAATGGGTGTGCTGTGAGTCCCTGTCTTCAAGGGGAATCCCTGTCCTCAAGGGGCAGAAGGATACTGGTGAGCTTAGGAGTCTAAGACCAGCGGTCCAGCCGTGTGGCTTTAGGCAAGCCACACCACCCCTTGAATCTCAACTTTCTCCTCTGTCAAATTCTGCCTGCCTCCCTCTCAAGGTTGCTGTGAGACCCTCAGCAGATGGTGAATGGGTAAACGTACTCTTTGGTAGTAAAGAGTGCCACAACCCAAGACCGTGCTCAGGATCAAACAAATGCTTTGGGAGGGCTCCCAGGGGCCTGGGCCAGGCATTCATTCTTGGAGTAGGTAGTCCTGAGCCATTCCCTGAAGGATGGAAGCGGGGAATGGGGAAGGGCAGTCCTGGTGAGACCCATAACCTGTGCATGGCCTGGAGGGCAGAATCCCAGACCACCTGCAAGTTCCCTCTCCCAGCGTGAGAGGCAGAGTGTATATCTGTAAGGCAGGAGAAGACGGAGCTGGCAGAGCGGGCCAGGCTGAGGAGACCACTAGGAGAGAAGGCTTGGGATGAGGAGAGCCCAGGCAGTGATAAGCAGAAGCCCCAGATCTGGGGACCAAACCACTGGGGAGGGTGGGTCAGGGCCAGGTGGAGCAGGCTTCATGGGGAGCAGGAGGGTGGTGTCCAGGCCTCAGGCCCCAGCTCTTTCCCCACCAGCGCCTGTCTCCTCCTGGTCTGGGATCCTTAATGAGTGCTCCAGCTGCCTATTATTTGGGTTGCTTGCTGTGGAGAAAGGAATTGGAATGTCCCAACTGGAGGAAATCAGATGTCACCTCAGACTGGGGATGGGTGTGGAGTGAAAGAGAAGGGAGTGGAATTTAAAATAGCCATACCCATTCTGTGGACCCAAAGAGGAGTGGAGGGCATCCACAGCCACCTTGAAGATGAATTTTGAGGGGTGCCAACAGATCCCAAACAAAAAACCGAACCAGCTGCCATTCAGTTGATCCTGACTCATTGTGACTCTGTGGGTACAGAGTAGAACTGTGCTCCACAGAACAATTTTCAGTGGCTGTGATCTTTCAAAGCACATTGCCAGGCCTTTCTTTCGAAGTGCCTCTGAGTGGGTTCAAACTGTCAACCTTTCAGTTAGTAGTTGAGTGCTTAACCATTTGTACTATCCATGGACTCCAGGTTACTGTTATCCCTAATAATAATGAAAACAACTGTAATAAGAATATCTCACATTTTGCAGGGTACAGAGAGGGGCCCAGTGCTATGCATGTTGCCTGCATAGGTCTTTCGTCTCTCAACTTCCCTGAGGGACAGACACTCTCGTTATCTCATTTTACAGATGAAGAGACTGATGTCCCTGTACCTCCATCCCACCATCTGTGATTCAGTCCTTTGGGTGTTGAGGGTGTTTTCTACCTGCAGGAATTCCTGGGGAGAGGAAGTGGTTGAAGCTTCCAGGCTAAAATGCGGAGAGACCCCAGGCAGATTCCCTCATCCCCAATAATAATAATAC